AATATATATGAACATATAGAAATATATATGAACATATAGAAATATATGTAAAGATATAGAAATATATGTAAACATATAGAAATATATATGTAGATATAGATATCTATATGTAGGTATTGAAATACATATATAGACATAGAAATATATATGAAGATATATATGTATATGAACATATAGAAATATACAGTCGGGGACAAAGGTTTAAGTGAAATTAGTTTTTCAGTATTTTTTTCACATTTTTTTTTCAGTAGTTTTTTTTCATATTATGAGATACGGATCTAATTCAAACGGTGATATAGATAGTATGAGAGGTCAGCTACATGATGTATTATAGAACGAGACTCCATCTGCCTATATAGATTTTTCATAAATTACATTTTTTTTCATGCAAAAATAGATTTAAGTGCTTTCCAGTATTTCACATTTCCTAACCAAGAGAGTTTTTTTGAAATGAAAAAAAATCAATCGATAGAGAATTTCACGCTCTATCAGTTTATTAAAAAAAACTCCGTTTCTAGAGTTGATCTTTGTCTCAAAAATTCGATTTTAGTAAGAACAGTCGGCAAAAAATGAACTTTTTCTCCCGTTAATATAATTAAAAAAGAAAAGATAGTTGCGTGTCTCAAAACTTTATTTCAGAAAGATGGGCGAGAAAAACGTTGATATTCGAACTTCAAATACAAGATTTTGTTCAGTTTTGAATGCTCTTTCCAATGGTGTATAAAACATTGTGATAAGAGGAAGTTTGTAGAATTTTGTAAAATGTGATTTCACCATTTCGGTTTTTGCTAACTATTCTCACTAAAACTAGGTTTTGGAGGTGAAGATCGACTCTGGAAAAAATCTTTTTTTTATAAACTGATAGAGCGTGAAATTCTCTATCGATTGATTTTTTTTTTCATTTCAAGAAAACTCTCTTGGTTAGGAAATCCGGAATACTGGAAGGCACTTAAACCTACGTTTGCATGAAAAAAAATGTTTCAGTTATAAAAAATCTACATAGACAGACAGAATCTCGTTCTATAATATATCATGTAGCCGATGTCTCGTAATATCTATGTCACCATGTAGA